TACAATTGTGAGATATTGTGAGTTCACAACCGCATTTTGAAGGTGTTTCAAATCCAGTAAAAAACATGATAAAATGCACTATATCTAATGTGCTCAAAAAAGCAGTCCTGGACGTGAAAAACCGTAGGATGAACCAAAAGGACGTAAACATGCGTACATGGACGTGAATTCAACCAACATGTTCAAAAAGAAGTCTTTTGGACATATGGACTGGAAAAGGAGGCCTGCCAGGGGAGCAGGTATAAAAAGAATGGTCTTTAGGGGAACTGAAAGGGAACTTCCTTTACTCCAGCCAGTCAAAATATAGTCTTTGGACTTCTAGGGTATATATATAATTATAGGTACATGCATCATGTTCTGGCATCACAACACCGAACATCCGCGTCGTCGAGCATGGCCCTCGCGCATCGAGGCGAAGCGTCCGAGAGCGTTTTGCGCTTGAAGCCGGGCGACATGCTGTGGGCGGACATGGGCGGGCATGGATGCGGATGGACATGGACACAGACATGGACATGGATCTGAAAGCTCGTGGTGCGCTGGTTTGGACGAACAAAAATGGTCAACAGCTTCAAATATGAGGTAGACTGACTTTTAGGCGGATGACAAGGACCACCTGGGTTCGCTGGAACATGGAGCAGTCGACCAAGACAGGGGCGAGATGGCTTTTGGGGGTCTCCTGTTTCAGCGTGGATGGCACTGGCACCCAAAGATGTCTTTCATATAGGGGTCCATTTGGGCAGCAAAGCATTCAGCATATAATCTACCTGGACCTTGTTGATCAAAGGCTGTGGCCCTGTAGTGCACTTCCTGACCTTGTAGGAAACCGCCGAACTTGGGGATTGTGCCCAACGACTCTAGAGATCACACGTGACAAGCTCCCTCTGGTGAGAATATCAAGAGGAACAGCAACAGCAGCAATACCATGGTATTTCTTCTAGGTGAACCAGTGTGTCAGACGTGAGTCCACCATCCAAAACCGTCCACCACTTCCCAGTTTCTGTCGGCTTCTGTCGGCTTTCTCATGCTTTCTGAGTCGATTTCTGTTGTTTCCAACCACTGGGTGACCCGCTGCACCCCCCTGGACCCCCAACTCCATCCAACGAAAGATCGGTATACACGACTCGGGGACTCCATCGCGTCTCAATTCGTGATGCAACCGTTAGAACTTCAGGGACTCAGCTCTTTCAGTGTTAAGAGTCTTTTACTCAGTCACCAAGCCGTCTTTCTTCATGAGTCGATGTGATGTCATCAGTATAGGAATGTGGCCCGGTCGACTCACATGGAGGGAACGGACTCGGCTGGTGACCTGGCCTAAAGCCGCTGGGATCCGGGGCGGAGGCTCAATGGCCTCATCGGCCACAGCCTCGCCCGCGCCGGCGGGCGCAGCGTCTTCCTGTGCTCAGCCTTGGAGGCGGGATCTGGGGTCGCGGTCCAGGGGGTGAAGGTGAAGGTGAAGTGAGCGGACTGTTTTGGTCGTTAGCGGACTGGTGTGTTTTGGTCGTTATGTTTGGTGAAGTCTGAAGGCTCTTCAGACTAGGATTTGCATGAAAGAAGAAGCATGACGAAAGAAAGGCAGATGAATCGGAACACTGTATTTTTATTCAAGGGCTCCTGACTTACTAGTATGGTGGGTTGGAAGAGAATGGTGTGGGAAACGAGTGTTTTTTTTTCTTGGCACTTTGGTGCATTTGCTACCACCTGCTGCTATGTGACTACGTCATGTGTCCTTTTCTGCAGTGATGTGGCCTATATAAAAAGAGACACCTGAAAATTCCAGAATTAGAAGCGCCAAGATGTTGTTTATTCACTGGAGGTTTTTTGCCATGTGAGGCTTTGCATGCATGTGCCCCTTCAAGATGATGATATGATGATCCGATTGATGATGTTCCTACCCAGGAAGTACGTGGATAACCTGCAAAACCTTTTTTGGGGATTGGTCTCCCCCACTAAATATGAACAGACAAAACATGATGGAACGTTTGGTTTAACCTTTTTCAAGGCAAACAGAGCGAGTCAGTATTAGTATTAGTATATGATAGTCATAGTATAGTCCAACTTCTGTCCATGCCTCTACCTTCTCCTACCTCTGTTTCTTTGCAGATTTTGGCCACCGTACGCTTGCAAGTACTGAAGTCAACACAAAGGACGTTTCTACATCACCATCACCATATATCACCATTCATGGAATCAAATTTCCTGGACAGCCTGTGGTTCCGTGCTGAGTTGACAATCTTGCCCAATGGCTCCCCAAATGGTTTCAATTTGCATTTGGATTGGTGGATGCCCACAAATGATTGCAAGCTTACTTGTCAAATTGCAGGCATGAACAGTAGCTGTTGGTTTTCAGAAAAGAGCATTTGTGACCCTGAATCCAAGTGTCAGAGCGGTGTGACTCCTCACAGTAAGGAGTACAAGAAGGGAGTTGAAGGTTCCACCTCCTAGGACCAAAGCCTTCAAGACCCTTCAAGACCCCCCGTTCATTCCCAGAAGGTCGACCGGAAGGTCATACCGAAGCCGAATCAGACCATCCCCAAACGATGTATAAACGCCCTTGCGTGTTCAACCTTTTGCTTACCCCAGACACTCCATCTACGGCATGTACTACCTCAATTCATTCCTGAAACCACCTGAATGAAGGTATAAAGATATGTGCCATAGGATGGTTTGGATCTATGAATATGTCACACATGTCACATGTGAGTGTTTACTTGGAACATTGACTGTTCCCCAATCAGGCATGTGCGAGTTCCACTGTAGATGCTGTTTTCATTCTCCGTAAATCTGGCTGTGACGTATTAAAATAAGGATACCTACTAGTTTGTTCCGACCCCCATGAAGGTTCGGAAAATAGACCAGTCTACCCAGCCAGGGCGGTGTTTGGCATACAGGCATACATGCTGTGGGGGTCCCATTAGACCATCGACCTGTAAAAGTCAAACAAGGATTTTGTCACTTCTTTTAGAGATGTTGGCCTACAAGTCTAAAAGCTAACCATCATCCACTAGGCGGGAATTGGATATACCGTACGTACCCAATGTCAATCCCTCCAGAGCAAAATGTCTGCCTTTCGGCTGGATTGAATTTGGCATCGTTGGAAGATCCAAGTACTGTGTATATGGGTATTTTCAAAAGATCTTCCAACTATGCCATACTATCCCCACAAATCTGCCTTTTCATCCATCAAACCCAGGAGAATCTGTTGCAAAGATCCTGCAGAAAACATTCCCATACACTCCATGGGACTGCCATATATGCCGCCCCATTGACCCCCGTGGCACCACCACCCCAACTGCTCCGAGTTGTGTTTTTTCGGACCGCCAGGGCGAGTTGGGCCACCGCAACGCTCTGGAACTCTCTGCCAGTTGGACCCCTGAAAGGCGCGGGCGCATAACTGGCGGAACACCAGCGGCTTTCGGTGGTGTTTCGATGGGTCACTGCAGGAAGCGATTGTTTCAGGGACAAGTAATACATAGAGTCCTTAAGGATCCAGTCGTACCCTCTGAGGTTCGGTGGGACTGGGGTGAGTGGAGGGTCTCGTACCGAACCTGAGGAGGTAGAACTGGATCCCTATAGGGAGTGGTGTCCCAAAAAAGAACACATGGACTTCCAAGGCTTCTGACATGTCGGCGACCACGACTGTCCAGGCAGAGATTGGAGAAATGGGGAGACTTGGAGAAATGGGAGAGCTTTGACTTTCTGCATGACAGGAGTAGAGTATGGGGTCTCAAAGCATTCATTCTTGCAGTGTTCAATAGGTCGCTTGGGCGGAACCAGGGTGGTTAGTTGGGTGTCCACAGGTTTGGGGTCACCTTCGCACCTTCGCCAATCACCCAAAACCACTTGAAAACTGCAGAACAAATTCGTGGCAAGTGCATTGCTGACCCAATCCAATTCCTGGATTCCTTTTTTGCTCCGACTCAAGCAGCCACTCCAGCCACCAACCCTGACCGGGACCGCTCCCTCGACCCTTCCCCCCCCCTCCCCGCTGTCTTCCGGCGATTGTCCCGCGCGGACCGCGCGTCCGACCCGCAGACGTGTTGGGCAGGAAGCGGATCGTGTTGGTCACCGTGGGGCTCCACCTGTCGCCCACACAAGGCGCGGAGCGCGCGGAGCGGAGGTGGTTCGTTCGCCAACGTGGCGCCATGGTTCACGACTTCGGAGTCGGCGCCGGTGGTGTCGGGAGTGTCCCGACCGCACCCTGGATGAAGAGCACCCAACTCCGGAACTGCTGGTAGAGGTAGTCCGTTTGGATGTTTGGAACAAGGTAGATCGATGAGGTGAGCATGATGGTCCATCGAATCGCACCTCATTCGTGTGGAAAGTGGGGTCAGGAAAGCATGTATTTTTCGGTGAAAGTTACAAGTTACAACACCCAAATGATAGGGACCACAACCTTCCCAGTGACCTCTTCAGGATTGGTATACGTGACCTTTTCAAGGCCGAATTCAGTGACCTCGGGATCTCATTCAGGTCACTGGGAAGGTCCGGTCCTGGGACATGGGATTTTGTGGTAGTTCAACATGTCCAACATGATCCCAACACCTTCCAAGCCCTTGACCGACCATGTCCCACCGACCAGTTCCACTGACCTGTCATGTCCCATTTTCTCTTTTCCGCAGAAATCCATGTCCCATGGCCAGCCGAAGCAGGTGGAAACATCTTGAAAAAACGCCTCCCAACCCTCCCCATGTTTGGGCCTCCCAACCCTCCCATCCATCTCCCAGTTCCTTCACCGGCTTCGTGTCTCAGGTTTGGTGGATGCCTGGCATTTGCTCATGCCCATGCTCTCCAAAAGCACCGCCGACCCAGGTGACCCGTCCGAAATGGGCAGGGTGAACCTGTTATTACCATCAGCCCTGCACAACCATGAAAAAGAGAGGTCGTTTCTTGCAACCTCCTTTTGAAAGCTCATCGACTGGAAAACCTGGTTTTGCACAACAGGTAGATGAACAGACATGTTTAATCTCTTTCATGCCACACATGCACATACCCTCAAACAGCTTCACCCCAGTCCCAGACCTGCTCCCTCCGCCGCTTTTCTCCATCGGAACCCCTTCGTGGAGATCTTCATTGCCAAGCTTGGGCAGGAGACTCAGATTGAGAGGGAATCGAGGTGGTGTTTCAGCTCACTTGAAACCTTATTGGTACTATATGACATGTCATGTGTTTGGTACGCACCCATGGATAAATATAGCCACAAAAACGAAACTGACATCACAACCTGCTCACTCCTCAAAACCCAAAGAACGGATGGCCACGAAGAGCCTTTGCAGAACCCTCAAGGACGTTGTCCTTGAGCTCACCCGGCGCCCCAGTCGACTGGGGCGCCCTACAAAATCTTCTTGCATTTGGCATCCGTAAAGAAGCGGGTTAACCGCCCAGGCACAAGACTGAGCTTGAAACCAAAAGTCATAGATTTGATGATGTAAATAATGACACTTGGGTATCATTGGGAATCTTTTCATTCCATTCTGATACGAAAGAGCGGCCAGCTCTGCATAGTTCTTCAAAAACCGTTGGCCGCTGTGAGCTAGAACAAGAGCCCTGTTAGACCGGATGAAGACTCCCTCCCTGTAGAGGCCGCTGATGAAGTCATTCACAGCAAAAACCGCTTCAGCCTCAGCAAGATAGCACACTTGAAAAAGAGTAGCCCACATGTCCCCATGCAATCAAATGACACAAAATGATACAAGAAAAATTCAAAATGTTTCAGTTTCAATGTGCAACCAGCGCACACACTTGAGACAGAGCGGGTCATCCTGCTTGCCAACAATGTTCCTCGAGCAGTAGTCCCCAAACCACTTGTGAAGAAGTCTCGTGAAGTCACCTTTGGACCAGCCACCATCAGGGCAATCCTGGAAGCCCTGGTGAACGCCAAACAAAGTAGGACTCAACTTGTGATGGTAGGGACTCTCTTTGTGTGCCTTGCAATAGCCCAGAAAGTCAACCGTCAGAAGGTCGAATGTCTTGACAATCGTCTCTGGGATGACTTCCATGATGATGCACACAGCGCTGCTGATGAAGGCTTTTCCAACTCCCATGTGCCAATTGTGAAACAGATCGTATCGAAAGAAGTCATCATTGCGACCTTCTTTGTCAAACGGTATTCGCAAGAACGGTGCAGGCACAGAGTAGGCTGGTGCAATGCCGACTGTCCGGAGCCAGGCAGGCTGCAAAGTACCAATTTCTTCAAATGGCACTGGGAAATGCCAATCCTCTTTGCCTGCCAGGCAGCGATGGCAAATGCCAGCGCATGCCTTCTTCGATTCCTTGGCTGTTGGCCTGCGGGCATAGGATCTATCGAATCCTCCAGCTTTGGTCAACCAGGGCGCGTCGCCCTTGCATCCCAAACATGCCACCCAAAAGCGTCGGCCTTCGACTTCAATGCCCTCTTTCAAGAGAGAAGTAAACTCATCTGCTTGGATCTGCAGCAACATGTTGAAGCTCTGTGGGCTGTTGTTGTAAAGGCTTACCGGAGTTGCTGATTGGATGAAATGGGTCTTCAAGGTGTGCCCCTTCATGTTCAGGAGCAGAGGGCAGCTCTCATCATCAGCATCTTCTCTCTGAAGGTGTTGCGATTTTGTTGTCCCCTGTCCAAGACAGCCGTGCGTTGATAAGATCAGGATTTGTTTCTTCTTCAGTCCACGGCCTTCGTCTCCATGCCACAGAACTGGCACAGTCATCGAAGGGTCCAGCTCCCCCCGGCTAGCCATGTCAAAAATGACATGATTTGGCTGAATTCCCTGGTACCTTCGCCAGAAAACATCCAGCGCTTTCCGCATCAACTTCAAATCTTTCACACCAACCAGACAGTCCAGGTCATCATTGGTCACAATGAATTCCAACCAGTCGCTGAAGCGAACGTACGGAAAACGTGATTTGCTCGGCAAATCGACATACGATATCCTGACATCAGCTGCCTGGCCATACTGTCTAAAGACTCTATGGCAACCCGTTTCGCTCTTCTTTGTATCGATCTTGGCTAGAGCTTTCATGCCCTTGGAAGCATTTCGGGTCAAACGCGCCTGCTTGATCACATCGGCGCATGGGACCTTGGCCAAAGCAAAAGCTGGGACACAGGTTCTGGCTTAAGCAGAAGGGTGCATGCATGGGAAGCACGAAGTTGGCTATATGCCCTTTGCACAACTGCAAAACAGCCCAAACAACAGCTTGCTACACCTGTTGAAAAAAACTGTGGAGTAAAGCTTGCATAGCAATTCCACTCAAGTCTATTTCCGCCAGCGTGCTAAGGTTCAACACAACAGGAGGATAATGTGCAATTGCAGCATCGAATTGCGCAAAGACACACAACATTGTAAACTTCACCGGATGCGTTTCAGCTGGTCTGCCCTCGCTCCAACAACATACACAAAGTGATAAGGCTCCTTTTCATTCGGGGGTCCATCACCTCCAAGCCGTTCATTCCGGCACCCATGGTTGGTTTTATGCCAACTGATCAACGCCGCTTCCAGCATTTGGGCCACCCCAATGTTCTTTGTGACATGGAGAATGCTCATGTGCGTATAATTGTCTTCCTTGTAAAAGGAGAACCGGATGCATGGGTTGGATGTCATTCCTACTTTGTAAACACAAAGCTGTTTCGACATCCTGTCCCTGAAACGGTCCACCTCCAGCAAGCATCTATTCAGAACTGTGCCAGCAGAGGACTTGTGCCATCGCCGGTAAGAGCTATAGGTCAAACAAATGCCATCGTTTTGGCACAGCAATTCTTGCTCCTTCAATACCGGATCACTCAACTCCTCATGACCCAATGGTAAACCACAGGTCGAATCATTATCATGCCCCGATGTTCCTGCCAAGGTCGATGATCGCACCTGCCACTCCCAAGGTTTGAAGAACTAGAGGATTTCATACATGCTCACACCACCACCAGAGAAACAGAAACAGCAACACTTTCCATGTAGAGCAAGGCACAGCTAACTTCTTCGATGGCCCATCGCCAGCACATGACACAGATTGGGTGTTGATGCTACTCCTGGGCTTCCCAAACATAGTTGAACAATGTTGACCACATATAAATATCTATTTTGATCATGTTGTTTCCTCTCACTTCTGTTTGCAAAAAAACAGATGACATGCAACCTCTACCTTGCAGCCTGGTAACGATGGAGACTGGTTCTCCTTTAGAAGTGGTGGGCATCGTTTTCTTCCAGTATAGGGGCACTCATAAGTGAGCAGATCTCGAAGTTCTTCTTCGGGATCATCATCGGCCGGCTTCCATGGCAAAGCCGGGTGCATGTCAAAAAGGTTAAGGCTAAGGGTCATATAAGGGTCGTTTCTCCAGACGCATATATACAGCATTCAACAGTACCACTTAACAGAGCAGTGTCATTGAACAAGTATGTTTCTTTTATGTATACATCCTCTCACATGCATGTATACTAGCTGGCAGTTGGGCCATCCACTGCACATGGATGGGCTGCAAAGCCATGACTTTCATGGCACGGTTCCAACAACAGCACACACGTGTAGCAGACCCCAGCCCATTGCATTGAGATCCCCGACGCCCCGGCCGACCATCCTTGCAAGCCCATGCAACTCAGGTTCAGCGCCTGGCATGGTCATGGTGAGGCTGTTGGGCGATCCAAGTGGGAGCAGGGGGAGGGGATGTGGAAAGTGATGAGAAAACTCATTGGTGAACCATGCAAACGTAAAGTGAACCAAGAGATCTTGACAGCAAATGATTGTTTTCCCCATGTCGCCTGAGATTGTTCACAGTGGATTTGGCACAGCATGGGATGCATTCAGGTGACCCCAGCCAAACTAAGCCAATCGCACCATTCTAGATTCGATAGAAAAAGCAAATTACATGTAGCAGCCTCAGCGCATGTCACTGTAACACGGCTGATGGATAAACAGCAAACACCGCTCCCGGTGTTACAAAATCCCCACAAGAAGCAATTTCATGCTTCTTCCCTCTCATCAGCAAGGTCCTTGAGCTTTTTCTTGATGGCTTTCTCCAAAGCCCTCAGGGGAACCGATTGCCATGACACTCAACATAGACTTCCTTTCTTGGGTTTCTGCAAGCACAAAACACCACACTGGAAATCCCTGCAGTAAACATACCACATATTTTGCCAATATATGTTGCATGTATATAGAAAATGCATGATGCTCTTCTTGTTGCTTGTATTATATCTTCGATGTACTTCTTTATATAAACACTGCCACTGGCCACAATCAATCCCTTTGCAGGCGAGACGCTTGCCCTGAGCCTCGATGGATGCCAGTTGCGCGGCCCTCAGGTACAGCGAGATGGGCAGATGTACATTACCGGCCGTCTTTCGGAGAACAGGTGTCGATATGAAAAGAATTAACGAACATCACACATGTGCAAGTATAGGAAAGGAGGATCCCTTTTCTGTTTAGTTACTTTTGATGCTTGCTGATGGGCAGGCGATAGCAAAATGTTTCATTTAAGGGGTGGTGATTTGGTGAATCTCACACATATATACACTGGCAATAAAGTTCATGACACATAGTGCATTTTGTCAAGCTATTCATATGGTTTCCTGTGTCTTGATATTCCGTGTTTCGTTTTTTGGTTCGTCTACATGGTTCGTCTTTTGCGTTAAAAAATGCCGACAAGCATCTTGCCCATACAGTCTCGCATCTTTTTCTTGACATCTTGGGTGGCCCTCAGTCCACATGGACAGAAAAAGGTTAACGGCAGAACAGCTGTGTGAGGGCCAATATGCATCACGAGCATGCATGCATTCATGTGCCAACTAAGCCAATCAGTTTTGATGTAAACTCAAGATCCTGGCTAAAGATCAAGACTAAAATAACATTGGCACAAAGGAAAAGCTGCTTGAATGTTTGTGAGCATTTTTTTGTGCAACTAGAACTGGGACTTCTGCGTTTACAACTTTACAGCGTGATCTGTTTACCAACATGTAAAACAACTGTTTCAGAGTTATGTTTTTTGTAGTTTGGACATGGGTGCAGCTAGGATTCTCAGCGCTTCGCGGCAGCTGTGTCCCTGCGCACAAGCGGCCCTCCGCAAAGGCATTGAACGACCGCTGCGCATCCTGCAGCTTGTCATCCAAGCACTTGACGAGCCTGGGTGCAAGGCACATGGATGTTTGTGGGTATGGATTGTAGAAAATGATGGTGACCTGCAGTTTACCCTTCAATTCCCACATGAATCTTTCATCACAAAAGAAAAGCTTCAGGCTGCACATTGGTCCGCTGTTCGGACATGTGGAATGGCCATATTCATGTCCTTCCCTTGACATGAGAGTATATCTAATTGAAAGATGAGGCACTTTCTGCAACGGGTTTGGTCCTCACCGTTCACACCTTCAAGGCCAACCAGTCCCTCCAGCTTGCTCATCAAGTCGGTGATTTTGCTCATCTTTGTCAACATGCCACTGTTGAACTTTTCTTCAACCTCCATCTCCTGAGATTTGATGGTTTTCCTTTGTTCTTGAAACCCTGGATTCATGGTTAGAACTTATAACCATTTGAACCCCAATATCTCAAATAACAACTCCGAACACAGACACATACAAGTGTTTAAACCAAATACTGTTTGAATCCATGATGAGACATGTATGGTAGGATCCTCAGGCGTTTTTCATTCATGTGTTTGATTATGTATAGTTTTTCAGAAAAGAACACCAACGCAGACCAAAGACGAATACAGTATGTTTCAGCTAAAGTACTCCCTCCTCTGGCGATTGCACCTGATGCCGCGTTGGGGACTTAGGCTCCTCCTCACCACGCGTCGACCCTTCGAGCCAATTGCCTTGAAGCGATGGTCCGGAAGCCTGGGCAGAGACATCGATATATATATATATATAGATGATATTAATGTTAATGTTTCTTTACAGGTGGAAGGCTCAAGTATACAAGCGATAAGCAGCGAACTCATCTATGTCGCACATCGACATACACATGGACATCAAGAAACACATGCTGCACATGGGTATATGCAGAGACATGTGGGAAGGCATCGGTCAGCTGTAGCATATGCGTGACAGTGGTGGTGCATTTTGAGACCATTGAAGCCCTCAAGATGTATACCCACATGTCTCATGAACATACATCAAAGTGCACATGTGAGCACACAGATTGTTCCTGTATCAATGCGCCCAAATTATAAATGTTGTTATCGTCGTAAACCACGCGCACCTGCAAATTATATAGTAAGGTTTGCATATATAGCACCCTTGCCCATGTTTGCTTGTATTTGCCTGCTGCTCAGTGGAGGTGTGCGTCTCACTCTCGATGTACATCTTCTTTTTGGACTCCTTGTCGGAGTACTCCACGAAGTACTTGTACACCTTGCTGCTGTATTTGTCATTCCTGAGCCGTGCAAATTGGAAAGTGTGGTTTAAACAACCCCCAATGCATTCAGAGAGTATATAAAGCTCTTTCCACGAAAGTCAGTGGTGGGTTCATCATGCTTCACATGCCTCCTACATTTCTTTTTGCAACCCCAGCTTCTTGACAAGGCCATGCTTCTTGCAGTAGGCCACAACATCTTTGATGTAGGCCCTCAGAATGTCTATGCATTGTGGAGCGGGTGGAGCGGGCAACACGTGTATCGTGCACACATATATACCGTGAATATGCCTATATATATATATTAATTAAATAAGCTGGAATTGTAGACTGGTTTGGTTCAATCCTGAGGGGTTGAATATATATAGCTTTAGAAAGCATTAAGTGTGATTTTTTTGCAACTTTATACATTGTGTTCTGCGTATTCGTGAGATTTCGTGAGTCAACAGGACATTGTTAAAATATCTCTTCACGGCTGGGGTTCCTCCTCAGGGAAACAAATGACATTGATGCAAGGTACGCGCCCCACTGCAGCTCAGTCTTCATCTGCTCTGGGGTGAACCATCCACTCTTGATCTCTTGAGCGTCTTCATTTCGTCGTTCAATCATCCTGACCACATTGGCGATGAATTGTTCCTGGCAGGTTCAATGCTACAGCTCCCCCGAACTAAAAGGCCTCCTTCCTATCATAAACATAAATTGAAACATAAACTGTTTTTGGATGTCTTTGGGCTTGGAGGTGCCTTGTTGAGATCAAATTTCTCGAAGAAGACTCTAAGCTCATCTCGGGCTTTCCCTCCTAGTTTCCACTGTTCGTGGATTGCCTTTGGAACTTGGATCTTGCCCGACGGCTTTTGCTCGCATAAGCGCCGCAGTCTTGCGTCGACCAAGGCGTAGCGCTTCAGAGCGTTTTTGTGGCCTTCGTCGTCATCGCCGACATCCTGAAAGGCGCAAGGGAAGGGACTTCTTTTGTCAGAGGACTCGCCCTGCAGACTTGTTTCCAGCAGGTTCCAAAGGTCAAGTAAACTCATGTATACACATGACACCTTTAGTTGATTTCTTCAGTTCAATTAATTATAGTTTCACAGATCCACGTTCCACCAGGTTCCAAAACAATACAAAGCATGATATAGTTTCATGCACATTAGATCACTGTTTGTGGAGCCCCTCATGTCAATGCATGGATGCACATGCGGAAGCAAATATATTAGCTGGGGCACAGCTGGTGTAGCAGGCTCAACATCAGCGTCACGAGCGAGTACAGCCGAGGGTGGGGTGGCTGTGCTTGCACGCGTTGTTGGCGTCAACACAGAAGGTGAAACAGAGCTAGAGGATCCGGATCCACGCATCTTGTCAATGAGGGCCCAGGCTTCATTGAGCTGAGCCTGTAGGTCTTTCACCGCATCTGCTGACTTGTCATCCTGCAGGGCTATAGCTTGATTAAATATAGTTGTTGCATGAACATATGAGTTTATACACAGCCTGAACTAATGGTCAACAGGTGCTGTCACAAGTCATATAGCTGCACTTTATATTTATAGCTAGAAGTCGAAATGCAGATGCAAAGTACACCATTTACAACTTTTGCTGATGTGTCCATGCAGAAAGTGACAAACCCTCTACCATCCTTCTTGGGTTTGCTCTTTGCGCATAGTGCCCGCTGCTCATGCTCACCGCTGGAACCGGGACCCGCCTCATTCAAGCTCAAATGATTCTAGTGGAGACCATAGTGTATCAAACATGGTAAAGCTCCGGCATGCCGGTATACATCATGTTTGTTCAATATTTGCGAACCAATGCGGATACAGTTGAGATCATATACAAAAACATACGCTTTGAGGGCACCAACCAGTTCTAGATCCTTTCCATATTGGTTCATTGTCTTCCAACACACCCAACCATGACTTCCAAATTAACATTCAAAAGCGTGAGATACTTTCCGACTGCAAGCTTTCACATGTTGTACCAGCATATAAATACTCCAAGAAACCTGCCGAGGTTTCTTTGGCGGTCCCTTGACCGGTGTTGTCGTAGTGGAGTTTGGTGCCGGCCTCTTTGCATCTTCGAGTTCCTCCATTGTTGCCTTGGTAAGCCATATGGAATTGAAGTAAGCCGGAATCCATGGACACTCAGATTCTGAGAATATGTTTCCCATTTGCCCACGATCTGGTTTCCATCTACACCCTTCGACCAGGCACTGGCATCGTGTCTGCGTTGGAAAGGTCCTCCTGTTCATGCTGCTCCTGACCAGGCACCTGACATAGACGCAAAGGGGCAGGTTTGGGTTGAGCAAACACCTCTATATATTTGGGTATATGCACATGACATGGTCAATGACCTTATGAAAATTAAGATGCATAAAGTGGTACCCCGAAGATAGTTCTCAGCTGTGGGGCTAACATTTACAAAGCATTGAGTGGTTGAGGAGAGTTTGTATGGAAACTGCCTGATGGGGAAACAATCATGCGTATCATGCCCATCGAGGAGCCTCAGTAGCCATTGTTGCTTCCGCCAACTGAAGCCGAGCAAGCTCCTCTTCCAGGGCCTGCGCAGTGCGGATACCCATCATCTATAAGCAGATTATTAATCACACAGACTTCAAGGTCCAACTTTTCTAGACTTCAACAAAATGCCACCCCATACAGGGTTGAGAGACATGGTTGCATTGACATATACATCCCATTGATTTGGTGTTTGATATGTTTTTGATTTCTGTGATTCTCTCATTGAGCACTCTGCTGTAGTGGCACAAAGAGCACTCCAAACCTAAAGAATATGCAAAGTTTACATGTTCATACCTTTGAGTTGAAACGGTCTTCACATCGCCTAGCCTTCCTTTGATCGTCGAGCTGTTGCCGGCGAGTGCGAAGCGTCTCACTCTTGGCGTTCAAGAGAAGGTTGTTGCCCTCTTCCAATGAACCGCAGCTCCACTTTTTGGAAGGGAAGGAGATAGCCATGGCCACTCTTACCCAAAAGTGTGAAAAACGGTGACACCAAGCTTATATTTGATCCTCAAAGTTATGGGTGAACAAGGGTGAACAAATCATTCCTGCGCAAGACCTTCTTGAGATAGTTGCATCCCAAATCCACCTGACTCAATGACCCTCAATTCCTGTGACTACAGATCTTTTCCAATGGCAAAATCCACAGGGTAATGCACCAGGTCTTTCAATAATTTGGCGGCATAAAGGCAGGGAAGCTCAAAACCTCATGAAAAGCTTCAAATGGCAAATCTCAAATTACGGATAAAACTACGTAGTTCTACATAATTTCTTACGGCTTTTTACGGGTTGTCTACGGGGTTTTTATGGGTTTCTTACGGCTACGGATTTTTCTACGGGTTTTCTACGGCCAAAAACCTGGTTTTTGAGCTTCTGCCCCAAAAATGCCAGAAAGCACTTGCCCAACCTCATGAACTGTTTAGAGGCCTTGGGATCAGCTTCGATGCCTTTGTGGCACTTTGGCTGCATTAGTTAAGGAGGTGTGGTTTCCACTCTGCAGGGATATTGAGGTTGGTGTTTCCCCTCAAGTACTGCAGAACTTCACACATATGGGCATCGTCCCACAGATCGGTGAAACTCTGGCAACAGTAGTTGGTCAAAGGGTCGAAATCCTCAGGACAGGCCGGCAGCTCTTTGCAGCCAGTCTTGATCAAATCTGGTAGGATCCGCAGCACTCGAAGGCCAAACCTGTACGGATAAGTCCTTAGATGGAGATGATGCTGGGAAGTCTTTGGTCGAAGAGGGCTCCTGGGTGTCCTGTGTGTACAAAAACAATCAACGGGCTATATAGCTGTATAACAATTGCCCCTGTTGTTAAACACATGTAGTCTTTCAGCCTTCCAGTTCCGATCTCTTTATATCAGATTGGTTGAATAAGAATATATTTCCACAACAATCAACTCAGGGAGAAGAAAGGTTCCATCATGAAATCAACGGTTTTATATGTATATAGCATATTCCTCCAGCCACCTTTCTGCATGGTTCTTCGTTCTGTACCAGTTTCAAGTATTTCCATATCGGTTCACAAGGATATACCCTTACAGTTATATAGGTTTCTATAGTACAATACATAATGCATTGCTGCATGTATGTAAACCACAGATATAGTCATGCACATATTACGATTGATCCATGAGTGCATATACCAGGCATCCACCCCCCACCACATAAGCACACACACAATATCACACGAACATGCACGTGCAGATGCCCTTTCCAACTTCCGCTACCTTTTAGTGCACATGTTCAATTCACACATCATCCCCTTTCCACTCAACTCACATTCCCAGCTCCAGTCATGACAATTCAAACAAAGGGGCTGACTATCCTTAAGCTGCTTCTTGCAGCCTTGAAAAGTCTTTTTGCCATCCTGGTCCACCTTCGTGATCGCTGTTCTGGATGACTTGTACTTTGAGGATTCATAATCCCATCCCCGCAGCTTTCCAAGGTTTAGCAGACCCACCTTCTCACTGTTTGAATAGCCCACATGCCTCTTGGGCGTCTTCGAGTGGTAGTGGCCCATCCACCACCTTGTCGTCCACACCTGAGGCGAGAACGGCGCGAGCAAAAGAAGGCTGGTTGAAGGCACCTGATGACGGACCTTCAGGACTTCATGTTGGTATAAGAGCTCAAACAGCAATATCTTTGAGATTACCATTCTGGGCCCCATATACATGCCAGAACTATATAAAAGGACTGAGTTTGGTAAGTTTCTGGCTTACACAAACACCTGAATGATTGAGCGTTTCCACATGCATGATCAGTGCTATATATACTGCTTCATTCAAGCCAGGATTCCAGGAGTTAACCTTTTGCAGGCGCCTCTTACATGTGATAAAAAGTGTGGGGGTGGAAAAACACAGTTGTCACCTCATGTCCCATATGCATTTTTGTACCAGGCAATTAGCAATCCCTTGCAACCTAATCAGTGGCTTGGAAGTCGAGAACCAAATTATACAACAAACGGTTTAAAGATGCATACAATTTGAACCAGAACTGGTTGGAACAAACGGAATCAAGACATGTCGAAGTGCCGTGCAGAGTTTACAAAAACCCATTTGAGAGTACCATGACTCACCATGGTTTCCAACCAGAGGGCCCGTAGGTCTCCAAAGGTGTCCATGATGCGGGGGTAGAATCGCAAAAGAGAATTTCCAGGCTGCTCCACCAGCCACGTCATCGACATGGCCTCTGCGAGGTACAAAAGGAGGCACAACCTGGGCGCCCGTGGCCGCGTTTACACCAATACGGATTGCTTTACTATTGCACACGTGTATTAGACAGTCCAAGCAAGTACAAAAAACTGCATTAACCAGTATTTTCAAGATTTCTGATTAAAACAAAACACCTGGATGCCATGGTGTTGGCAGCATGGATATACTCCAGATCTTCTCGGCCACAAGGATGTGTAATGTGCCGTTTTGACGTTCCCTGGTTGATCACTGTGAATGAGGTGCAAACGATGGCCAAAAGGACCATCGATGCACCATGCTTGGCATTCAGGATGCTCGCCACAGCTAGCCTTACAGTTTCATGCCCCCCCTATACACACACTTTTCCTATAGCTGGTTCTGTTTCCTCAATTAAAGTCAGAATTCTAGTCCAGGGGAAAATTTGTCACCTCCAAATAAAGAAATGTATAAACAAACATCATTATTGTAACAGTCACCATCAGCTAAGGATCGCAAATCCAGAGGGAGTGAGTATATCGAAATAGTTGGACCGTGGTTTTGATCCTGTGCCCTTATCCTCAAAGTAGTCAATGTCCAGAGCGGCTGTATCGCGGCCTGCCTTTCTGATCACTGTGGACGTCAGAGCTTTTCCGGCAAAGACTTCAATGAAGTCATACGACTGCAGGGCAAAGCAATTAAGGGTCTGCATGAAAGGTGATAATATCATCCAAAAATGATGAACATCAGAAACTGTTTGCCAACAACCACGAATCCATGTACAGTTCAGATTCTGATGTGAACTAATTGTCGGTACAAACGTGGCTGATTGAATCCAATCTCTTGTATATGTTATATTTGCCAATGGAGCCCCAACCCCCACCTCTGTTAGGGTCTGCACGTTCTGACTCCACAATAGCATCAATACACAGGAGGTGAGCACCTGTAGGGCAGGCATAGGCCAAGGTGCTTTGGTCTAGAGATGCTCATGTATACATGGAACAGGCCCCATGCTGTATGCTTACAAATTTGATTCTCACAATCCGGCCTTGGGAGCCTTCAAGTATTGAAGCCTCCAGACCAGTTCCGGCAACGTCAATGGCTTTCCCATTAAACCGAACGATCTACAATGGATTGGGTCTTGTACCAGTCTCGTGGTGAGCCCAGTGTACACCCTGCTGAGCCAAATGCGTTCACCTACGGCAAAGACGTTGGCCAAGAGAGTGCCTTTGACTGATTTCACAGTTGTGACTTAGAAGAAGGTGCATGTATACCATGACTGCCACAACATCCAGATATATATCTTGTAAGAAGTCCAGCAAATGTTCAAAAGACTCCTTCCTTTGTGCACACATCACATGTAACACAATTAAAACGCATGTGACATAAAGAATGCCGAGACTTGTCCAGAGTCCTCTTGAGAAGTTCCAAAACTGGCCAGACCCACCGTCTTCTGGGTCCAACCTTGATTCCAAACGGTTCTGCCAGGCGCGCCGCCTGTCCTTGCCCATCGCTTCCACCTCAGGACCGTGGTTTGCCGGAAAAGACTTGGGGTGGAGGGCTGTGACATCAAGACTATACTGCAAAGGGGGTTCGAGATCACAAGGCTGGAAGCTTTGCACAAGGAAATGCATTTGGTATAGTTTTGACTTCCCTCAATTTAAGATTGGATTGTTTTTCTTTCATGGGACATTAGAATACCCACTGCTGCTCGCAATACTTTTCCTTTTCCCAAAAGGCGCCAAGAAGTATTGCAACGCTATGCCTGGGGCTGGATCATCATGCCACTCCCCTAAAGGCCAATGTGACAGGCAATGTTATCACTCCCTGTTTGCCAACCTATATAGTTGCCCTGCGCTGTTTACATCCAATGCGAGCTTTTCCCAAAGCAAATATAACTATCGAAATTATCGAAATTATTTTTATATAGCTTTATATAGCTCTTGCACTCTCAAAAAGAAGTAGACTCAGCTAACATGTGCGCACCTGGGCAACTATATAACCCCAACACCAGCCTCCCTATGGAAAGATGCACAATTCCAACCAAACTCAAGCCTTGAAAGCTTTTGCTAAATACCGATTGAACACTTCGTTCACGCAGTCAGCACCAAGCACCAAAAGCAACATTAGCAGATGTGTTTCAAGAAAAACATGATGTATATACACAGTATACACACGGAACATGCATGCATGTATATGTCCAACATTGTCCAACACTGGTAACATTGAATTTCAACATATTTCACATTTAAGTCTTATGATGTCTCATGGAGTATTTGCTGCAATGCAAGGTTGACTGACTCCAGGATCTCACGGAAAACTCTACCTAAGCTCAAAAGTCCTTCAAGCTCTTGCCCAAGCGATGCGCAATCGACACAGCTTTGACCATCTCGGTTAGCCCTTCCTTGAAGGTGATCACTTCACCATCCTCGAAGTCCTTCACCTTCTCCGGTGCCACATCGCCACCCACGAAGTCGACCTCATCCCCACATCAAAACACATCAGCATCAAAATCCATCCATGATGCATATGTAACACGATTCACAACCCATTCCTTTAATGTTTATAACTATAGAAATGAGTCTGTGAGTGAAGGCTTGACAACTAGCTATTTGGAATGAATACAAGGTTTACATTGGCCATAAAGAGACATGGATCAACTGCGAATCACTTAAATCATACACTTTGGAGGCTTATAAATCCATTTGTATATATGCTTTGGCACCCAGGCGGTACTGAGCACTTTAACTAGATCAAAACCATTCCAAACCTTTACATTCACAGATTCAGGTGCATGTATACATCTACAGCTGCGCATGCTTCAATATGAAACTGTGCCCGAGCAGCCCTGATACCATTGAATCCTATGCATGCAGCCACTGCCCTTTTGGAGTGTACAAGTCCATCAGACCCTCTAAGCTTCAGACGTAGAAGTAGACCGCCCGCAGCGGCAATGCAACGGAAGGGCAATAGGCCCCTCCAAAGGACAAGACATGTTTGTTGGTCTTGCCAATCTTTTGGATAAGGCCAACACGGTTGCTCTTCCAATACATAGAAAGCTGCCAGAAATCGAACTTCTTCAAGTCCTCCTTTTTCACAACCTCATCCTCAGGCCCATTGGCAGCCGCGAACAAGCCTTCGAGGAAGTAGCACTTTGCTGGATCATTTCTTTTGATCCCAGTCAAGAAGTTGAGCGCCTGCTCCTCCGCAGCTGATGATGGGTTGCGCTTCTTCTTCTCCTTGCTCTTTGCAGCACCGGAAGCTTCAGGGACAACTTCAGGGGCTTGGTCACCTGCAGGCTTTTGCTCAGCTGCTTGTGAAGCCTGGCTCTTGCCTGATCTTCTCGCCCGCTTCTTGTCCTGCTTGACAGGAGGTGAAGCTCCAGCTGACACTGGAGCCTCTGGCTCAGGATCCTTTGTCTCCTTGGCCTCCTGCTCCTGATCCACCTGCTTGGCTTTAGCCTTTGGCTGTTTACGGGCTTTCTTGTTTGGCTGCTTGACAGGTGGTGAAGCCTTCTCACTATGTTCAGCAGCCTTTGGATCTTGCGCATCATCAAACAAGCGGCGAGGTCTTGGTGACTCGAAGGCCTCCTTCTCAATCTCCACCGGCTTTTCACCAACAGCTTCGCCAGTCTCCTTCGCAGGCTTCTGCTTCCTTCCTCGCCCACGTCCACGTCCACCTCCACGGCCACGGGCATTCTCCTTGTCTTGCTTCAGACCGAGCTGCTCTCTGCGGGTCAGAACCAGCGGCGCCTCCTCCAAAGGGTCAATGCGTGCACACACCAAACTGCAAGATATGTAAAAATATAAGACCGTTCACAAAATCATAATTGTTTGCAACATGCGCAGACGATTCCAAGCTCGAAAAAGATTATAGATTTACAATTATAAGATGCTGTCGTAGCCCTCTAGCCAAAAAGTGCAGTCCCACCAAAACATGACACACCAAAAGTCTTTAAATGCCTATATCCACCCAGACTCCTGGAAAAGGAAGGGAGATGAAGGGCGGTTTAAATCTGATGTATTTTTGTAGGAGTGCCTTCTCTATACCTTTTCTATATATAGTGCTGTCATTGTCTCAAGACATAGCTTTGTGTCTCTACCAATACTGCAGGGTATAGATGGCAAGCAGGCAAACAACCCATGCACCTGCATGTGTATATATATAGGCACATGCGCATGTGTTTTTCCAGCACCATCCCGCACCTCATCTACATTCTTCCCCTTCTGTTGGCCATCAGGAGTCTTAGTCGATGAAGCCGCTTCCACACCTGCCTTCACCTGCTCCTCCTCCCTTTGCAGCAATTTGGCCACTGAAGTAGTCACACCAGTGCCCGTAGCCAGCGGCTCTAGCGGAACCGTGTCAGCTGTGTCCATGGCACAGGGAAGAGTGTCATCGACCACTAAGGTAGCTGGAGCACTCTTTTCCAGCTTGGAGATCGTCTCAGCATCCCGAGCAACAGCCTTCTCGACAGACCTGACTCGCTGAGGTCTCACAAAACAAGCTCAAACAGTGCAGCATGGATATGTGTCCTATAAACCCCTGTAGCAAAAAACTTGTTTCAGGCAAGGCGATCAGGTGTCAGCGGTGTTGTCAACGCTTGCTGACTGTTGGGTAAGTGCAAGGGAGGTGTCCCAATCCAAGATGAACGGGGCCCAAAAGGCTGACTGCAATATGTTGACTGCAAATTTTAAGTTATTAAATGAGACCTCGGTATAAGTCTACATGAATGCATGTATACTGTTGTAGAATCGCATTGTGTGCATGTTTGTGCATGCCTTGTTAATGCTCGTGACAATTGTTTGTCCGGGATTTGTTTAGGGAAAAGGATAACCAACAAAAGTTATACATACAGTATTCCACGGTCGATGCAGCGTTGTATAGCCACATCAAATGAGCACAAGTGCCTTGATCTTGTATAAAACATGCAGAAGCACAAAGAACACACAAACACACACACACACACCGGACATTTGACCAGCATGCTCCCTGCAATTAAGTCAGGTTTTCTGAGAAACATTTTTGAGAAACATACATTTTTGTATAGAGACAAGCCCTTTTGCGTGTGTGTGGACACAGCTCACCTCTGACTTCAGTGGTCAACTAAGCTTCAGACTCAGCTTTCTCCATGCAACCCTCCAGCTTGCGGAGTTGCTCCTTCAACACGGCGATCCGCTTCTCACGTGCCGAGGCTTCTCCTTCCACAGGCATAGGGGAAGGCCCAGAAAAGGAGATCTCACACTTCACAGCCTTTGGGGAATCCTCAATGCTGATCACCCCGTCATTGTGGCTGAGGGGGCGGGCCACTGGACGATGGTTCTCCAAAGCAGTCTTGTCATCGAGGCCAGGATTCTCTGGCACGGCTTCTGCTTCAACAACTTCAAGTTCATGCTCTGGCAAAAACATGTCAAGAGTAGCAGGAGCTTCTTCAGCCTCCTGCCCAGTCTCCGTATCCACCCAGAACAAAGGCTGAGAGTCCACACCCAAGTCCGACGAAGACAAGCTCGACCTCACCAGCTGGTCAAACCAGCTGTCCTCCTCAGCCTCGACCTCACGGTCTGCGTCATCAAAAACGAGACCCTCCCCGACGACATCAATGGGTTTTCCAACATCAGCATCAGAGCCATCGTCTTCTGTAGTGGCTCCCGGAGGCTGCAGGGTTAAGTTCAGACCACAGCTTGAAAATTGCACATTTTTGGTAATCAGCTATAGTCTTGTATTTATATACGCAGCATTAAAAAAGTACTTTCAGTATAGTTTGAAAAGAAACATATATACAATGCATGTAATCCTTATATGTGTTAAGGAACTCAGGCACCTCACAGCGATACATGTCGTGCACATATAGGCCGACCTGTTGCCATGCTGTTTTTATAGATGAACAGCTTGGCTGAAGGATGGCATGCACATGTTTTGCACATGTGAGTTAACTGGTGAACATAAACTAGATTGCGCAGCATCTTTATGTAGAAAATACAGGGCCACAAGATCATCACATCCAGACGGAGAGACTTAAGCCATATTTATACATATGTTTTATCGTTGAGCTTCGAGTCGACAAGCCGCTCGCCTGAATCGATGGATCCAGGATGCGCTGCATTGCCAAAAAGTCGTGATCCTAAGGCGGCTGGAGGGTTGGGGGCAGGCTTCAGGGCCAGGGCCATTTAAGGGTGATGATGGGTGCTGACAGCATCAAGTCTTCCAGGAACCCAAGATGGACTGATCATCAGAGTGCAATACCTTTCAAGGCTTTTTCATGTTCATACATATCATGTTGTGTATACTGCGAAGTTGCACCTCTTTCTTGCATGGAGAGCTTTGGAAGAACAGAGTTTTGCCACATAAACCCTCCCACCCGTCTTGCTCCAAGTAGCCTGGGAGCCCAATCGCTTATGGGTCTTCATCTTGATAAAGGAAAGCATCGACTTGCATGTCCATGCGTCAAGTCGAACTCGGTCCTTGTCTGGGACCAGGCTCAACTTCAACCGGAAGGTCTTGATCCTCAGGTAGTTCATGACCACACATCAAAGGCAGTTAAAACTGTTTATACCTTTATATTTTTCCCACCTGTCTACCAGAGAAGCATTGTGTGCAAACAAGCTGGAAACTGGAAACCCAATGCAACATCTTATAATACAGCTATGAAGTTGGTTCATGTATACAAGCTAGTGTTCGAGATCGTTCCATACATGTAAGAATTAACACAAGTAATGTAGAGGCCACGAATTAAATGTAGTTGTGGCCGCATCCAGGACCCAACAATACCCAACACATTCATAACCAAAGAAATAATATCCTGCTATACTGCTACCTTTGTGGGAAAGGACCTGAACAGGAAAGATCCTTTAAACACGTTATCACTATGCATGCATGTAGAGTTGAGCAGGTGAATGGTCCCCAAAATCAATGAGAAACTGGAAAATACTCAAAAGTCTAGGGTCGTATGCCATCAGCAGAGTTTTTTAAACCTATAGAGATTGCATTACTTAATTGAGACCTGTCATAACCCTTCAAATACATAAAGGCGCCAGGTTTCTCCCTTGCAATGTCCTTGATGCAAGGCAGCGGGTGGGAGGGATTGTCCGCCATCAAAATCAGGATTGGCGTGAGAATCAACTTGTTGTAGGAAGCTTCTTTGATGCACACCTTGACTGGATGGTCCCTCCCTTTGCTTGATACAAAAAGGCGATTTGATTTGATAGCAGCCACTCGAACATGAGGAGAGTCCTTCCATTGTCTGTAGATCTTCTCCACATCACAGGCTGGCTTTGGAGCTGGGACATCGTGCTCCCCACGAGGCATGGCAACGAGATGCAACGAGTTGACGCGCTCTCAAGCCTTTGGTCACCGGTAAAAACGGCTATGGTTGTTCATAGAGGTCATCAAAAGCCACAACTTCACCCTGAAGGTGATTTCAATTCTGTGCATGCATGGGTGGTTTCTTCCCAGTCTTGACCCCTTCTATCATCAATCCGCTGGTCCAGGCCGATGATCTGGGTCCACGGCTGGGACCGAAGATCAAGACCGCAAAGATCACCAAGCGGAAAATGCTCATCGCACACTGGGGATGGCAGGGCTTCTTCAGAAAGCAAAAGGTGGAAAATCTTGATTCTTGAATGATCGGTTCTGTGTGAACCACATAAGGCACCATGTGAACTGAGGTCTCAAGAGTGTAGTCCATGTTGAAACCACTCATGCTCAATGGTTCGTTTGAGCTATGGGTGTACCACTTCCAGCCAAAATGGCTTCATCACCGCATCTTCAGGCACCTGCTCCGGGAGAGGATGGGAGAAGAGTCCAAAAACCCGGTTTTTGAAGGTACCCTGCAAATCTACGGGTTGTCATGTCAATAACCAGGTTCTCTTCAAAAAACCTTCCTTTTGAGTCCGACCTGGTGCTCATGGTAGATTATGATGGGAGATGATGGGAGGATTTGTGTATTCTGTCAGGAAACCCAACTGTAAAAACAAATATTCAGAATGGTTCTTTCCGGCAAATCAGCCATGAATTGTAATCAAACTAGTGGAGGGTATGCGTGTATACGTTGGCTTCACAGGCACGGACAAGCCTTGGACACTCTGAGAACGTCAAATGTTCCCACCTTGAAAGCGGCGTTGAAAAAAAACACGTAGAATTTGGGCATAATTTGGGCCAAAGCTCAAACGACCTGTAATGATGTTAGGACCCCCTTCGAAGGAATCGAAGCAGCTAGTGGCTAGTGGCTAGTGTGCTTCGCCGGAGAAGGGTTTCTTCTTCATCAGGGGGGCACGTTGCGCCACACACCATGCACCGAAAGGCCAGGGTCTACACAGAGTGGCGGAGATCGAAAACAAGGGAGTTGATAGGGGTTCATCTTCAAAAATACAGGAGCCGAACAACGCGTGGGCCATTCTGAAAGGAAGTGGTCCGCGAAACGTACCAAAAAGGTGCATCTGCTGTACCAAAACGTCACATTGAAAACCTTCAAATGGTCCAGCATGGTCCAACTGCTGATGTCCGTCCCTTGGACGGGCATGGGCACTGCATGAAAAGTGAACGTGTCCGTGAAAAAGACGGAAATCAGTGGAACAACCACAACACAGCCAGTCCAGATCGAGCGAACCAGGATCGGTTTTTTCCCCTGCCCCAAGCATTTCTCCATGTAGCTAAGGGTGGTGGCCACCGCAACTATCCGCAACTTCTACAAATCCTCCAGAGAAAATGCCATTAAAGCTTTCGATTCCATCACACATTCAGCTGGAACGATTAGCTGCGTCTCAAACAGAGCATGCTCTCAGTTGGATTGGCTTTTGTCCGGTTAATTTCCAGCGCCTTCGAATTGAAGTTCTTTGAGGGAGCTTTTCGCCGCCATTCTATCATTGACTACTTGTAGCGCTTGTAGATGGACTGGATGATATAGTTTGAGCACTTTGAAATGGCATCCATGCGGATACGGATCTCCAAAGCTATTAATGCACTGCAACGAGCGAGAATGTTCACACGAAAACGGCGCCCTTCGGACCCTTACAGTGAGCCAGGTGCTCGTCCTTGCTAGTTGCGAGATCACAACGAGTGCACCGGTCCAGCCGTCGTGGTCGTTTGCTCACCACTTCCGAGATCTCAGGCAGGATCCCACCATTTCTTCGACAAGCCACCAAGCAAGTATGCAAAAAAGGCCCCCAACAAGAAAGGTCAGAAGCACACAATATGTCATGTGAAGAGTACAGGAAATTCTTATATCAATTCTATCCTGTTCTATCCTATTCTATTTTTTCTGAGATGATATGTGATCCGCTCCGCCCCCACCGGTGTTGCACCTCAAGGGAACCGACTGGTGCCCGGATCGGTGGCACACCCTCGACAGGTGAGGGCGACGCGGTGCCCCAGGAATACCAAGAGGCGGCCACGCGGGGAGTGGAGCGGTGGATGGAGCGGGTCGTGGCGGGGAGGTGTTTCGGTGAGAGGTGTTTCGGTTGTCCATCCCTTCTGACTGCTTCAGAGGGGATGGAAAAACAAATTGGAATTTTTGGCCAGAGCAGAAAGCAAGAAGACCAACAGACGAGACAGTCACCCTTCAAGATTGCACGTATTGAGTTGTTGTCAGCCGGTGTGGGATTGTAGTCGGTCAACTTTCGGGGAGGCTTCTAATTATGTCCAGGGAAGCTGAAGATTGGGAGATGAAACCAATCGCAGTTTCCCAGATGGAATTGCTTTGAAGTGTAGGAATGGTAGGGGGCGCAGATGGGGTCTCACCAGAGGGAAACTCGTTGAGATAGGTTTTGAAGACATGAAGTTGCAAGTATAGGTCATTGGCCGTTTTACCAATCAATATCCAATTTATTTGTTGAGGTTTAGATGGGTTTAGTATAAAGTTGGTAAAGTACTAGGTGATGGTTTCGGATAGTTTTTATTTTCAACCCTTACTTGGGGATGAAGAAGGACCCTCTGACTCATATTTTTCGTTCGTGGGTTGAAAAAAACGAGCTAGAGTAGCTTTTAAGCTATTTGCTTGTTGGAGGGACAAAGCGTAGGACATTGCAAGACTCTCGGAGCCCCATGGGCCCATCCCTGAACTGCGTTTTCAGTGTTGATGTTCCTGCTAACTTAGAGGTGCTGGTGGTATATTAGTTAGCATAGGACATGACTACAATCCCAGCAGTTCCATGGTGCGATCGTAGGTATAGGCGCTGTTTCCTCAGGGGAGCATGTTTCAGGAGCTCCAATCACTAGCACCCCTCTAAAAGCTGAGTGCTTAATTTGATTTTTGCATGCATCCTAGAGGATGCATGCAGCATTCTCAACTCTGATGTTTCCAGGGCCTTTCTCCCCCTTCCACGGCTGATGGGCCCCACGGCTCTCCAAGCCCGACTCCAGGGTGATCAGCGGCCTGAACCCGAAGACCGCGCTTGCGCGGTACGTGCCAACAGTGCCCTGTGGGATGGGGATGGATGGGGTGGTGGGGGGTGTGACTATAGGGTGGTGTGGTGTGAGTGTGACTAGGGTGGTCTGGATGTGTTCTTGGAATTGGGGGTATGACATGTTTCTTGTGGAGGTTTAAATCACATGTGTTCCTTTTTTGGTATTGAAATGGCTCCAGGGAGGAGCTTCATCGAAGCTGACTTGCAGCCCCAGTCATACCGAACCTGAGGAAGCACGACGGCACGACTCCGAGTCTTTGGAGCTTCCACAGAAATTGTCCACAGGGTTTCCATCAGGGATGCAAACACCCTGGAACTCAGAATCGGATCATGTGGAAAGAGCTCGGCAAGAGGTGCTTTTCCTCACTCCGAGTGAAACATCCTGGTGAAGAGTTCCCACCAGGACAGGTACGACGCCAACGTCCCATCCATGTCATGCATCGTGAAAGCCAACGCACAGTGAAGCCACAGTGGAGACGTCGATTGCAGGAGTTGGTTCGGCCCACTCGACCTGTGCGAAGGTCTTCCGGCCACAAAAATGAGCGTTTTCCAGACAGGTAGCTGGAGGATGCTACAGTATAAGGGCAGATGGTGTTCCCAGAACATCAGGATTGAAGTATGAAGTGTTTTGCAGCAGACACCCCTTTGAAGTTCCAGGTGTATGAACTCTGAATCAACAGTCTAGTCTTGCTTGATTTTTCAATGGGTTCAGCACATCCCTGTGACCACTTCTACGGATCCCGAGCCCGGCTTGATCAGGGCGCTCTGGGGGTTGGGGCTCAGGGAAGGATGCTCTTGCCGGGAGGGGCTTTTCGTTTGGGTTGCATCACACGGTAAGCAACCACCAACAAGAAAGCGATCAGAGGCTCAAGAACCGATCCTCCACCGCTCTTTTCTTGAAGAGGGCGGCTTGTGGGGCAACAAACATTCGTCGATTCCGCGTACCCGTGTACCGTAGCGTACGGGCATTGGGGCGTTCGTTCATCCGCTTTTTCGGTCGTCTTGGGTTCGTCACCTGCCGAGGTCAATCCTGCTTGGTCATTCAGGATGCCCGGGCGTCTCAGGTCAGCGGCAGCTCCGTGGATAGGCTCGACCCAAGGCTCGACCCAGGTGCTCGGAGTTGACCAAAGGAGACGCCGAGATGCTCCATGTAGGCAACCATGGCTATGGCTTACATGATCTTACTGTATCATGTTGCATCATTGGGTATATTGGGTGGCTTCGTAGTGGTATACGATACAGTATGTATACTGTACATACGTGTCTTTGAGTCCTTCATCAATTGATATACCCTCGCATCATACCGAACATCGCCAGCAATCAAATGCCGTTTACATGTCGACCTGCTGGATGAATTGGCGCAGTCGTTGGCGCACTTGTTGCAAGCCTTTCTCTCCACATCGCAACCCACTTTGCACGATGTCAGCCCTGGCCCTGGCCTCCAAGAGTAGAAGAAGCCCTGCAAACTGGAATGATCCATGCTATAGAGATATTGTATATTATATAATATAGATAACTTGCATGCATCCAAAGCCCACCAAGTTTTTGGCTTTCCCATTGTCCAGGAAGAACACGCGAATCGTCAGTGCTTTTCCTCACGCCAGTTCTCACGGCTCCGTTCCGCATGCCTCGCGTCGACGGAAAACTGGCCGCCGTCTCCTGGAAAGACCAGCTGCGAACCCAACATTCCACTGCCGAGGTGGATCTTCATTTGCACTTCGGCTCGGCCGAGCAGGGCGCCGCCTTGGCGCTTTCCGAGGACGGACTGGCCATGGGGAGGTACCTATAGACTAGAACTCAGACCTATAGTACCTAAGGCAGAGTGCTGAACTTGAGTGACACCATGTTCTTTGATCACTACATAAACACCCCCTGAGAGATGGAGAACCCCGGGCAAAATCAAACAGCGACAACAACAACAACAACAATGACGACAACATACTATTACTACTATTAATATTACCATCTATCTATTACCATTACTTTTACTATCCTTTACTATTATTCTTACTACTTCTACTACTACTACTACTACTACTACTTCTAATTACTTCTTCTTCTTCTACTTGCACTTCCACTTCCACTTCCACTACTACTACTGCTACTACTACTACTACTACTACCACCACTACTGCCACTACTACCACTACTACACTACCACTACTACCACTACTACCACTACTCCTGCTCCTACTCCTCCTGCTGCTGCTAATGCTGATGCGAGTGCTAAGGCTACTAGTGCTTGCC